GCCGAGCCGAGATCGAAATCCTCGCGGCGCCACGACAGGATCGGCCGGTCGGCGGGGCCGGCCTTGCGCACCGTCGCGATCAGGTCGGCGCCCTCGGCCGGCGACAGGGCGTAGATCCAGCCTTTGTCCGACGCGACGTCGGCGACGGTCCAGGAGATGGGAGCGGTCGTTGCCATGATGTCCTCCGTCAGTCCGCAGTCATGCCGAGCCGGCGGATCGTCTCGCCGGATTCCTTGATGTCGCGCTGGAACGTTCGCTGAACGCGGCCGGCGTATCGCCGCCGGGCAGCGAGCCGTACTCGATGATCTTGGCGCGGAACTCCGGCACCGCGAGCACGCTCGCGATATCCTTCTGGATGGCGTCGACGGTGGCCGGCGGCGTGCCGGCCGGCGCGAACAGGCCGTACCAGGAATTCTCGTCGAGGCCGGAGAAGCCCTGCTCCTTGAAGGTCGCGACGTTGGGGAGGGCGGGGATGCGCTGCGTGCCCATGATGCCCAGAGCCTTCAGCTTGCCGGCGTTGATCAGGGCCAGGCCCGAGGTGACGCTGGCGATGCCGACATCGACGCGACCGGCGGAGATGTCGCCCACGAACGAGGCCGCGCCCTTGTAGGGCACGTTCAGCAGCTTGATGCCGGCGCTGTCGAAGATGCGCTCGGCCATCAGGCGGCTGCCCGGGTCGGGACTCGCGGACGTGCGCTTGTCTGGTCCTTCCTTGCGCACCAGCTCGACCAGTCCCTTGAGGTCGTTGGCCGGCAGGTCGGGCGTCGCCAGCAGCGTTGCGACCGGATAGGCGACGGCGGTGACCGGGCGCGAAGGCCGTTGCCGTGTCGTAGGGCAGCTTCATCAGGTGGGCATTGATGGCGATGCCCGACACCGCGAGCACCATCGTGTGGCCGTCGGGTTGAGCACGTGCGACGAGGGCCGCGCCCACCGAGCCGTTGCCGCCGGTGCGGTTGTCGACGATCACCGTCTGGCCCCACTTTTCTTCCAGCGCCTTGGCCATCAGGCGGCCGACGGCATCGGTGCCGCCGCCGGGGCTGTAGGGAACGATGATGGTGACGGTCTTGGTCGGAGCGAAGTTGGACTTGGCGGGGGCCGCGTTCTGGGCCATTGCCGTTGCCGCAACACCCAGCGCAAGGGCGATACCGGCGAACGCCGCCGTGATAATTCTGGCCATCCTCGTTCCTCCTCTTTTTTGTTGGTATATAGTTAATACAACATGGTCATAGACACTGAGGCAAGCAGACTGCGCCACATCGGCCGGCAGGCGAAACC